AGGGTAGAACGGGCGAAGAGATCGGCTTGATGGCGGTGATGCGCGATCCATTTGCCGACAGTAGATCGCGGAACGTCGAAAATCGCCGCCAGCTGCCTGATAGACGGTTTCGTCTCCTTGGCTCCCGCGCCACCTGGTCCACTGATGTCAGCACATGGTGTAAAGTAGGTTTTCAGCACGGCGGCCTTGAAAAAGCGAGGAGAGTCGGCGTCCTTGGCCTGTCTAGCCTCCCGCAGCAGGTCGAAGGCCCGCTCGTTCCGCGGACTGACGACTCCGCCCGGTGTGCCCAATGGGTTCATCAGATGCTATTTAGTGGATATCCGCAAGGAGGGGGTAGCAGAACAAGACTCAGAGCCACGTATCGATCGTGTCTCTTAGATCAGGGGAAGCAGAAATATAGACGTCTAAATGACTGGAAATGCATTATGTCCCGTAGAAGGAGTGTCCTCTCGAAGTCGTCAAGAATTTGTTGAAGATCGTTAAGGCTCATGTGCTATATTCATGGGGTCAGCGGAAAGATTTGGACCATAGGATGTCGACTTTTAATACACTGATCCATTGGCAATTTGCCGCACTTATTCATCATCCTCACTCTCACTAACATGCAAGCGATGTAACTCATCATCTTCACTCTCACTAATACGCAAGCGATATAACTCATATTGAATCTTGTCGAATTCTATCGAATGTGCCCACGCCGCAACACAATCTGCGACTACTTCCTTGTGTCCCGTACCCATCTTGAAGGATGTTTCAATCCAATCTTCATCGAAAGCAAACTCTTCGACACAAGTCTTAGCTATGTCGAGAACTTCTTGTTTTCGACACGTCCTGTCAATGACCAGCTTTTTCATCAAGCCAAAACGAATCTTATCGCTTCTTTCAGCTATTTTGGCTTTTTTGATCGCTTCATACGATTGGAGCTTTGGCAATTTGGACAGCACTTGAGGAGGCTCCTTGACAGCGATAGAATGGGAAGACGCCTTCGGCTCGGTCCGCATTGCAAGAACCAGGGCGCAAACAGCCATAAATTCGGTGACGGAAAAGAAGTCAGAGCGAGCGATGTTGCATGGGCCGCAGCAGAGAACGAGATTCGTAGGAACATGACCCAGCTTGTTGTTTACACGATCGAGTGAAACGTTAGCTGGCTTGATGCGTCGGGTGCAGTAGGGACAATTGACATTTGTCTTAGCGAGGTCCAAAATGTATTCTGGGCACATGAAGACCCAGTCCTCCCCTGGAGAGGACAAAAGGTTGGATTTTCGATCAGAAGCCATGTGGTTTCGAATTCTCGATCTAATGCGTTTGACTTCGTCGTCGTCGTCGTCATTCTCGTCGTCGTCGTCATCATCATCATTCTGGTTCTCGTCGTTCTCATCGACGTCCTTCTCGTCCTCTTGGCCGCGTGTGTGACGGTTGGGAAACAAGCCAATCATCGGGAAAAAAAAAAAAAAAAAAAAAAAAAAAAAAAAGAATGATAGAGTGAGACTATGCCTAAATCTGACATACTCATAGTCTCGCTTTGCACACTGATCAGTGGCCGACAATTATGAATAAATTACCTTTTTAAAGGGTAGGAAAAATATTGGACAATTCTAACTAAAGTGAATAAATTATTGGTAACTTGTGGGAACAAGGATTTGTAAGCCGTCGGGAAAAACTATGTTCAAACGCTGTTAAATTAGTGAGAAAGAGTATCGATAAATTGTTAAAAGTGTGAGACATTATTGACCAAATCGATTATTTCGGAACCAATCCGGGCCCAGGCCTCGCTAGCACGAGGCCGGAAAGAAGGTTGACTTGGATATTTACTGAGACAGTGTATGTAAGGTGAGACATGGTTCTTTTGCTGCTGCTGGTGGTTGCGGGAGCGTGTGTGTTACGACCTTACCCGGAACATAACCCGTATCACTACTAAAGTATGCTAGAATAGAATGCGGAAGTATCGTGTACTAAGAATATAGTGAAGAATGAGGGGAAGCCTAACTAGGCTGAGCCTAGTTCGTAACAGTGTGTCGCTGCTGCAATGGCTTCTTTGATTTTTCGGCAAACCTTCTTTCAGACTGTCTTGTCTGGAAGGGAAGCGACACCCAACAACACGATTCAATGCTTGAGCTTTCACTGCAGCTCCTTTGGGAGTTGATCCTTCTGGCATGCGCACAACCCCATCCAGTGCATTCGAGGTCCTTTCTTTCGTTCTTCTTTTCACTTTGCACGAACAAAGGTCATTGAATTTACCCATGACAAAAAACCCCTGTCCTTCCTGCTTTCACCAGTCTTGCAAATTCATTTCTTCGTAGTCACAATGGGAGCCAAGCCATCGACGCTGTCCCCTGAAGAGCTGTCTGAGCTGCAGGAGACGACTGGCTGTATGCGCCTCTTTCACACACACCGTCGCGCCGTCACCCTCCTCTTATAGTCGACATTGTTGCCATGACCATTGCAAGCTGCCAACGGACAGTGCGACAATAGAGTCAGAAGGGGTTTCGCATTGGATTCGTGCTGACGGCAGAGTGAGCTGGCATTTACCAGCGCGCTGGGTCGCTCGCCTTCGCCTCGAGCAACGCAACGTTCAATAGTGAAGAGGGAGTGTCAAATAGATGAGGCCAGATGGCACGTTGACCTGTGGGTGGGTGGGAGAGGGAGGCTGGTTTGGACGAGGGTTCGCAATGGTAATGGCTGGGAAGCTCGCCACTTGGTCGTCTCTGCGCCATCCCTGCCGCAGTCCCAATCACTTGGTGGTCGATGGCAACTAATAGAAAAGGAAGGACTTGGGCATGTGCCAACTCGAAGAGTTAGCGCAACAGTCACTCACGTTCATGCACCACTCATTCATTGCTCAATGCAACCACCACTCAACTTACTTGTCCTTGCTTGACATGCTACCAGTCACACCAAATCAAATCAAGCGGTTGTATCACCGATTCAAGAATCTGGACAAGGACAACACGGGCACGCTCAACAGCGACGAGTTTCTTGCCATTCCCGAGCTCGCCATGAACCCGCTCGCCCCGCGAATTATTGCAGTGTTTGACATTGAAAAGGCAGACATGGTCAACTTTGGGCAATTTTTGCGTGTCCTGTCTGTCTTTCAAGCAGACCGATCACGAGAAGACAAAGTTCGCTGTACGTGTCATTTTGTTCGAGCGGTGGTTTTTTTTTGCGTGTTTTTTTTTTGTTGTTGTTGTTGTTGTTCACGCTCGCACACTCACTGGCTTGATGCGCATCACTTCTCTAACAACAACAACCACAACACTAACCCTACCCCAAAAAAACAGTCGCCTTCCGTCTGTATGATGTGGATAATGATGGTTTTGTTTCTCCAGCAGACTTGCATGAAGTCCTCAAGATGCTCGTTGGCGTGCATGTGAGCGAAGACCAACTCCGTCAGATCATTGACAGCACTATTCAAGAAGCTGATACAATTGACCACGACGGCAAGCTGTCCTTCCCAGAGTTTGCAGAGGTGGGTCACACAAATTTTTGCTCGTTAGTTTGTTTCGTTGTTTGTCCTGCCTTGTCATCGACTGTTGCCCGTCCTCGATGCGCACTGACACGCTGTGACATTGTGTTAGGTATTGAAAACGACCGACATGGCCTCAAAGCTGAGCATTGCGTTCTAGTGGGACTGGGACCGACTCGGTGTCTCCAACCAAAGCAATCCATCTTGCTGGTCGTTGCGGCTTTAAAATGTGTAATACAGTTTTTTTGGAATTCTACACTGTACGGTGTCGTACAAGAGTCAAAACAAATGACTAGCTGCTTCGCTCAGTCGTTGGCGAGTCTGTCGAAGCGTGTTCCTCCTTTTCCCGGACGCCCTCCCGGTACAGCTCCACAGAGCGTCGTAATTGAATGATATTGGTGCGGTAATTGTATCGGCAAACCCACCTGCGCGAGGAGATAAAGTCAAGGCAGGCAGACAGCGATGAGAATTATTGAATGACGGGGTTCCAGTCTCGTCAACAGGTAGCCTGAATCACAGCCAATGCAAGGCTACATCTGGCCGAGATCTTTACCATGAAATCATGCCAGCACCAAACCACGACCAGGCTGCTTGCGTGAGCGCTTTGTTAGCATCGCCTATGTGACAGCAAATGGGTCAGTGATTGGACATTTCGACTCGAATTCTAGAACAACAAGGACGAGTAGACAATGCCGCTTAGTCCTCAGACTTACGGGTGCGGACTGTCTGCACGGCGCACACGGTGATCATGGCAGCGAGACCAGTCAACGCCGACTGGCGCGCGCATGGGACGCGAACCCAGTACTCTTGCGTCCAGAAGGGCGGCTGCACAAGGGCAAGAGTTGATTCCATGTGGTCAGATGAAGATGCAGATCAAAAAACAAAAAGAGCGTCCTCGAGCATGGAAACACGCGCGGGGGGGGGGGAAGTGAGATGTGCAACGAGCAACGAACGAGCGACAATGCAGCCACCAAAGCAAAATGTACCGTGGGTCCCATCTGGCCCAGTGCAGGACTCAGATCGGTTCGTGACGAGCCAGGCGTTGCTTCTGCTGCAGGAGCAGGCTGCTGCTGCTGCTGCTGCGGCGACGGCGTTGCAGGTGGCTTTGCATCAGCACTGGACATTTTGGCTCTGGTTGTGGATGTAAGACTGAAGTCGATCAATCTCGTGAACTGTTTGACTGAGAACACAAGCTTCAAACAAATCCTAAATTCTCTTTGATTGGCGGGGGCGGAGGAAGGGGAGGTGTCCCGAAAACAGTGCGAAATCTGGTACTGATACAGTAATCCCATCAGAAAACGCATGCATGCAGCATGCACTCGTCGTTCCGTGTTTAGTATTACGAAATTTCTCGGGAAGCCGAGCTTGCAGAGGTCCTTTTTTGGGAACAGGACAACGCCAAGAACCATGGGTATGAATGGATTTCGCGCCTTTTTTTTTTTCTCTCTCTTCTTCTTCTTTTCATGACACTTTGATCTTGCCTCCCCGCCGCCCACACTTCTAGAGGATTGAATGACCAACGAACACGAATAGCACTATCGGCAATGGGCACTGGGTGTCAAAAGAGCGCGAGGAGTTTGACTTTTCTCAGCAGTATGACGAAATATTGTTCTGATTGATTTTTTGGTTCTTCCCTTTCAGCCGTTTCCCGCGAGGAGTTTCAAGCTCAATGTCGCAAAACCTACAAGGGGATGTTGGAGGGCTCGACTTTGGATCGGCAGCGCTCACTGTATGGGCCTCTACTCAAGAAGGCCTTTCACCCTGGCTTGAAAGGGTTTTCCTTTCTTTGCTCGTTCGACTCTCTCGGTGCACCTTCCCGAACTTTCTGCGAGACTGTTCTGACAGCTATCAACCACACGATGACCAACATGACGAAGTCTCGCGTTTTTGGTTGCGTCGACACGTCGGGCGCCGGCAAAACCAAGATGGCCTTCTCGCCAGCCCTCACCAATCAGGCTCATGTTGTCTACATCCGCCTTGCCGATACTCGCGTAGGCGCACTTCTCCCACCTGTTAGCAAGTTGCGCGATGAGCTGGTATCATTGCACACTCGTCTGATCGAGCGTGTCAGGCAGGATGGCGCGGCGGCATGCGACATCCCCACCGCCAAGCTTGCTCTTGATCTCGTCCGCGAGTTTGTATGCAGCTACTACGATATCTTGATCGAGGCCGATGAAGCTTGCGAGCCGGCGACTATCGAGGAACAGCGTCGACTCTGGGTTGCAATTCTTGAAAATGGCTTTCCGCTCGACCGACTCAGCACGCGAGTTTCTGAGCGGCTCGCAGCGCGACTTTCGCCAAACTTTTCAGGCAACACCCAGACGGCCATGCTCGCTTTAGAAACCAAGCTCCGCGAACGCATCTCTCGGCTCGGCGTTGATGGCAGCCAAGCGCCACTGATCCTCTTCATGGACGAGCTCAATGCTGCCAAAGATATCTGTCCAGGTTTGTGGTTTCACATGGACGAGCTCAAGAACGGTTCGCACAAGCACCGATTGTACGAGCTGTCACCCAGTTCAAGCTCTCCTGACACCAACAAGCAGCAACCATCTGATCTCTACTACGCCATCCGTCTCGTTCTCTCTGAAGTAGCCACGCGCGCTGTTGGCGCTGTGTATGCCGGCACACACCTCTGGTTGCACGACGATCTTCGCCTTGGTAACTCGATCAGCCCGCTCAACTCGCAGCTGTTCAAATGGCGCGAATTCCACGCCATGCGACCCAGCGACATGCTTGATTTTCTCGGTCTGTACTTTGACGGCATTCCCGTTCCGAGCCATGCGAGCCAAGAACGTGATGTCTGTCTCGCGGCACTTACCCCGCTTCAAGGCCGTCCGCACTTTTTCTTCATGACCTTCTTAGACGTCTTCCTTGATCATGTGAAGAACGCCAACAACACCGAGGAGATGGTCGCAATGATTCGTGAGACTGCCAGAAAGGCTGCAACTTCGGTCTCTTCTCAGGTGCGCGATCGGGTCCGTACTGACTGGCGCAAGCACACACAAACACCGAGCCCTTTCGTGCCCACAAGCATCGCAGCCAACGTTCGTCAAATGTATCTGTGCGCTCGTTTATCCAACGGCGTGCTGCCATTCACCGCGCCTCAGCTTGCCGACATGCTGTCTGTCGGTGTCCTCTTCTTTGGCTCTGATCAATCTTCATACAACTTGCGCGCTGAGCCTTTGACTTTCCAAACTCTTCTAGAGGAAGGCGACGCCGCCTTGCAGTGTGAGGACTTTACTACTCTGATCGATCGCGCTCCCACTTCTCTTGGTGAAAGGACCGAGTTGAAGGTCGCTTGGCATTTTGTTCGCCAAGTGGTGCTCGCTGGCGCTCGAGAAGTTCTGATGTTCGAGGCTGTCAAAGAACTCCTTCCTCGAGGGTATGCTCTTCCTGGCGCCGTGTCCCGGATCATACTCACCGCCTCGACAGCCGTCGCTTCTCCACTGTCCGCGACCACCGTCGACGAAATCCGCGCCTCAAACCATGTGTTGCATACTCTCCCACAACCTTTTGGCCCCGATATCATTGTTCCCGGTCAAACGTATGATTCGAATAGCATACTCGCCATTCAGTGCAAGAGCGGTACAGCCAATGGTGGTGATGCTTCGGTTACGCCTGGTTGGATCTATGCTGCTCGCGACAGTGCCACTCGATCCAGTTTCCATCGGACCGCTTTACGTGGATCGGTTCGCCCAGACCGGGCCGCGTTCGCTCCACTCTTCCGCGAGGAGGTCAGCAGCGGGGTGCGCCGCGACGCTCGATGGGTGCGCTGCGTGTACACGCTAGGACGTTTCTCCGACCAGCTGGTGCAGCGAATCAACGCGTGGAATCGTGCATGTGCTTCCGCTGCCCCTTTTTCTTGCATCCTGCTCCTTCAAGGCAACGACGAAAACGCGCCGAGCGTCAACAGCTTGGTTTCGGACGACGACCTCAAGTTCCTCACAATCGACCAGGTCGATGCAGTTTGTTCCGGGAACCCCGCGGCGGCGCCACAAGAAGACTTGAGAGCAGCAAATGCCCGGCTTGTCCAAGAAGTTCTACAATTGCGGGCCAGAAATGTCTCGTACACCACCAATGCTCGATTTTCACTCGCTCAGTTGCAACGGCTGGCTCCGTCACTTGGTTTTGATGATGCTGTGCTTGAAAGGACATCACAGTCCATTTTGCGATGGCCTCAGCTCGGAGCGATTGCTGCTGTTGATTTGCGTCAGGCAATCCGCCTGACTGGTACCCCCGTCGAGTTTCCCCTCGAGGTTCAATTCGTTCTGCAGTGTTGTCTGGCGTGCCCAATGTGCAACAAGGACCCTTGTGAGTGTGTGTTGCCGTGATTCTGCCTGCCGCTTTGCCTGTTACACTCCGACCGTCACTGTCTTGTCTAGTCGTCAATACGTTCCATTCTCTACCTCTGGTCGTAGCAGCGCCATTTGACACTGTTGTTGCAATTTCACAAGACTATATTCCAAGCACCTGGCGGGGGTGATCGGGATGGGGATAGGAAAAAGGGATTCGGGGGGAAGCTAAGGTCGAAAAAAGAAGAGAAAAAGGTCGAAAAAATTTGGGCCAGTGTCACTCTGGCGCTTTGAGTTGAGAATTCCCGTGCCTCTGCTTTCAGACTCCATTATCGTGTTTCCTTGTGTTGGGTGTTCTACGTGCGTGTGGTGGTGGTTGACCATTCGCGTTTGTTGTTGCTTAGACACTTCGCACTTCACAACCAAAATGAACTCACCATTCAACAGCGCCGCGCTGATGATGTTCTTTGCCGATGGGTTGATTGTGAGCAATGCTCACGGCAATCACTTCCCAGACCAGGAGTCTTGCAGATGTGCGACACTGCATCGCTCGTTCCTTGTTGTAACCAAGCGGCATAATCGTCTCAATTTCCCATTCCAACATCCAGTCCTTTTTTTATTGTTTTCGTTTTTTTTTTTTTTTTTGCTTTTTTGGCTTTTTGTCGCTTCTTTTTGGTGGTAACTTTGGCCTCCATCTCGCCCCATCTCCATCCCGGATCCCACCCCCTATCGCATCCCCCACTCTGCTATTGTCTTTGTCGAGCTCGTCGCTGTCGGCTGGCCTGCACTGTCTGTCTCCCTTCTTGCGTGTTTTTCGTCGATTTTTTTTTTCCTTTTTTTTTTTCTTTTTCTCGTGCGCGCGCGCGTCCTGCTCTTACGAATCGTCACAGCAGCAGCCGTGCGTGTTCAAGAGCGTTCAGCCTTCTCGTTGAGACCCTCTCACTAGCAGAGCGTGTGCACCCGGCTCTCTGCGTGTCTTCCCCGTCGCAGCCTATCCGCTCGATTGGTTTTGCGATTGTTGTTGCTGTTGTGACTGAGTGGGTGCGAGCAACCTGGGAAAACGGGTGCTCCTCGTTGCTGCCTCGCCCGAGCTCTGTGGGTGGTTGGCGTCGCTTGATGCCAATGCTCATGGCTTGAAGATCCGCTCGCCAACGCCTGCCCCTCGACGCGCTCCTGCAACGTGCCCTGGTTCAGCAGCTTGGTTGTTGTTGCTTTTTTTTTTTTTTTTTTTTTTGGTTGGTTCCTTCTGCTTGGCTTGCTGAATGGCTTGAGACTGGGATCTCGCTGTCCACCTTCCGTCTTCCCTAGCGCACAGCAACTGCTTTGTGTTTCCAAGAGCCTTCCATGCGCCTGCTTCAGCTACGCGAGGGAGCGAGAGGACGACGTGATTCGCAGGAGTAGAGAAAATCGTCCAACTTTTTTTTTTTGTTTTTTTCTGGTCGTGCTGTCTGCTGGTTTTTCCTCTGCCGGTCTGGCTGTCATATTCCACGCTCTCTGAGCTTTCTCGCGCGCTTCCTCTCTGCCACTGTCTCCATCGCATTGCCATGCCGTGCCAGGCGCCTCTCCTCCTCGATCATCACAACAACCAAAAAGAATAAGCAACGTTTCGGTTTTTTATTTTTATTTTATTTTTTTATATTTTGCTTTTTTTGATTGCTGATTTGAGCGTTCTGGTCGGCCGCAGCAGCTCGACAGACAGCGTTTGTGGGGCCTCTCTGTGTACATCCTTGGTGTGTGCATGCTGCGTCTCTTCTGACGTTGTGCGTCGCTCGTTTCCAGTCGCAGTTCGAACACGATTGTGATTGTCAAGTTTTTATGATTTTTTTTAAAATTCGAGCAAACCAAACGAAAAAAAAAAAAAAAAAAAAAAAAAAAAAAAAAGTTCGAGCAAAAAAACTGTTGTTGATCAGCAAAACAACCGACTGCAAAAACGAGCGTCGTCTGTGTCCCATGAGCGTGTGTGTCTGTGTGCGTTTTGGCCAATCCATCCCACGATGCACCCCAGCTGTGCTGAATTGCTTGTGTGGGGTGGCATGGTGATGGGCGCGGAGCCTGTTCAAACGCGAAGAACAAACGACAAAGTTGTTAGCGACTGATGCTCGCCACGCTTCGCAGACACAAGGCCATCCGCCCACGGATGCTTGCTGTTTTGTGGATGAAAGATCGTGGTCGCCGTGCACCGGGGGGGGAGCGACGAAGAAGCAGCAGTCAAGCAGCAGCAACCGAGTCGAAGCGAGTTCTGTGAAGCGCCGTCTGGCCTCGTATTCACGCCTCTCTTACTCTTGGCTTGTTTGCACTCACACTTTGACTTGGTCCCCATCCCTCTCAAACTCACTGCCGCTCTCTTTTGCAAGCGCAGCGAACGTCAACCTATAAAAAGGCATTATTTTGGAAGGTGGTTTTTTTTTTTTTTTGTTTTGGGTTTTTTTTTTTTTCCCGCGATTACGCTCTTCTTCTTTGTTGGAAGCAGGGAGGAGGATGGACAACATTCACTCTTATGCTGTATTAGGCGAGGAGGAGCGCGCATCACGCTTCCTCAATCACAGTTTGAGCGGTTCTGAGGGTCTCAGCCACCTCTTCCAAATTAGTCAAACTTCCAGCTCTCACTGATCTGCACTTGAAAACCAACCTCTGCACCAAACACTCACCGATTTGTGTCCTGATCATCATCCACAGACATTGTTGTTCCCTTGACATGCGGCTGTGCGACGTGACAGTTGCGCTGCGCACGCTCGCGCGCATCACTGCGAACGCGCTCAAGGCCAAAAACAGCAAGGCGCCCACTAGTGTGATTCGGTAGGGGCTTTTTGTCTTGACTTTGGTGAACATGCAACAGGCGTTATCCACGTTCCTAACATTCCTGACTTGCCCCCTTTTTTTTTTTTCCCCCTTGCTCTTGATCCCGCTGTATTGCTCAGAACGGTCGCGGGCGACGTCTTTCGTGCCATCGAAGCGGAATGGGAGCGCATGGTGAGCACAGTGGGCAACGGACTGCCCGATTCACAAGCGCTGCGCAAGCAAAAGCTGCTTGCAAGCGGCGCTGAAGTGCGCCAGCTCATTGGACGAATCGTGTCCGTGCTGAACGCCACGAACAACGAGTTTAACGCCACCGTGTATGACTCGTTCGTGGCCGCCACAGAAGGCCTGGCCCGATTCATGGCCGACCATTTTGTTGAAGCCATGAACTCGATGCTCGAGCCGCTGTCAAAAGCAGCGCAGCAATGTCACACGGACGTGCAGGCCGTGCGCAACGCCGGCAAAGCAAACGATGTGCTGAGCGCATTCAACACGGCAACGCGCTCGATTGCCAGTTTTGCCGAAACGGTGAGTCTGCTCAAGGGCAGCTTCCCGCCGCTTGACTCTGAGTTCTACTCCTTCCTCGGCGACGGCTTCAACTTTTTAAACACGATGAATTCCCGCCTGGCCGAAGATGTGAACGCCTTCTTGCGGCTTCCGCAGGCGCCGACCGCACCGCCGCACACGCTGCCGCACGGCAAGCTCGCGACGGAAATCCTCGCCCTTGTGCGCGACATTGTGGACGCCGTCTCACTCGAAAGTCAGTCCATTTCTGGCGCATCCACCTTGGCCTGCTACAGCAAAACCTTGTCGTCCATCCTGCATGCCGAAGAGCTGCGCACGCAGATGCATGCCAGCGAAGTGCAGGACGTGCGCGACTCTGGCGCCAACGCGCGTCTTGTTCAGCTCAAGTCCGAGCACAGTCTGGCAGTGCCGCCTTCGATTTCGTCATTAGCGTCTGTCGCGGACGACGTGAACGTGTCGTTGCAAAACATTTCGTTTGCTGCCTCCCAGTACGACCCAAACACACTCAAATCGGTCGTCGAGTCGGCCCAGCCGCAGGTTGGTGCTTGCGTGCGTTCCATCGCAACGGCGTTCGACGAAGAGATCAAGCGGCTCCAAACAGACGTCTCAACGCATCAGACACAGCTGGATGCGGCGCTAGAGCAGGTCAGATCGGCCCCGGGCGACAAGGACGCCACCAGCCAGCTCGTCAAGGCTGCGTCCTCCTTGCAGCTTGCCGTCGCTCCCGTGGGCAAGCATTTGTACGAAGGTGTGGCTTCGCCGCAACTCGGACAGCTCGAAGCGCAATTGCAGTCGGCCACCAAGCGCGTCAACGATCACGCAGGGGGCGAAAACCAAGCAGAGCTCGAACAGGCGGCCGCGCAGGTTGCCGCCCTCGCCCGCCAAACGGCTACTCTGAAAGAGCAGCTGCTCGAGTTGCCGCCCTCGCCCGCCAAACGGCTACTCTGAAAGAGCAGCTGCTCGAGCAGAGCAAAAAGCAAGTCGGAGACGTCGTGCTGCAGACCAAAAACGAGCTCATTCAGAGTGTCAACAAGGTTTTGGAAGCTCCCGGCAACGACGAGCTTGCCGAAGAGCTGTACATGGCCTGTGACTCGCTCGAAGAAGCAGTCGACGAAGCGCTTGGTCGGATTGTCCCGATTCCCAAATCGGCGGAAACTGTTCTTGACGATTCGGTATGTTGTGGCACCCTTCTGTTCTCGTGGTTGCTGTCGTGTGGTGTAGTGGCTGGTTGTCATGTTGTTTGCTGACGATTTGTTTTGTTTTGTTTGTTTTTTTATGCGCAACCGACAGCACGAGGAAGGCTGGAAACGACTGGACGAAATTCAGTCAAAACAAGACATGGAGTCGTTCTCAAAACTGGTCTCGACGCCGGTCGAGGCCGTTGTCAACACCTACGCCACCATTCGCAAGAGCAATAACGGTGGCGCGCGCTCCAAGCTCCCGATGGGCGATAACAAGACCAACGCCGCGGCGTTTGAGGGCACGGTGCCTGAAATCGTGCAGGACTTTGAGGAGGCCATCAAGCGCAACACGGCGGCAGCCATCCCCGACTTTTTGCGGACTCGAACGGACACTGCCGTTGAAAAGGCGCTTGCCGCACCCAAGACCATCCGCGGCAAGTCGAACAATAGCAAAAACCCCGATCCAGCCGCAGCCGGGCTCAACGTCTCTGTGGATCAAAACAGTCAAGTCGTCGTTGAGCTTGGTCAATTTGGCGAAGAGCGCGTTGTTAGTGGCACGCTCGAGCAGTTGATTGTGCGATTGACCGATCCTGAAAAGATTGGTAAGCGAGATGGTGTTGACTCGTCGAATTCTGTTCTCGGGGGTGTGTTTGGTCATTTTTCGCTCACCGGTTTGCCCATCTCGTGTCTAGACATGTTGTTTACAAACGCGTTCATCATGACCTGCAACAACATTGTCTCCCCCGAGCAACTGATTGACAAAATGACTGATCGCTATCGCCGGCCGCCAGAAGCCAAAAAGTACCCCATCATGGAGCGTACTTGCATCATTCTGTAAGACCTGCACGCTTTTCGGTTGTTTTGTTTGTTTGTATGCAATCGTTGTCACTCATTCGCTTGTGATGTGACTGGTTTTTTTTTTTTTTGTTTGTTTGTTTGTTTGTTTGTTTGTTTGTTTGTTTGTTTGTTTTTTTCCTGTCGCGCAGCAAAAAGTGGATTGATGAGCATCTCGATACCGCCAGTCCCACGTATTCTCGAGTCAAAGAAAAGCTCACTGCTTTTATTTTGTCGATGGACACGTCCAAGGGCGAATATTTGCAAAAGATTCTTCAGCGAGCACTGCTCAAGAAGGAGAGCGATTCGAGCGAAAAACGCCCGTCGCTGCGATCAACCACTGGCAAGCCTCGACGCAACACGACTGGTGCATTCAAGGTGCGTATTGCCCGCTTTTACTGGGGCTTGCCCTTGTTCCCTGTTGCGCATCACTCACGTCTTTTGCGTTGTCTCGCTTGAGCAGCTCCTCGGAATTTCGACCTTGCTCCACTCAGATAGCTACGATATTGCTTGCCAGCTTGCCTCCGTCAATGCTGACTTGTTCAAGGCGATTAAGGTGAGGCGTGGGGGTTGCATTCGTTGCGCTCGTCTGAACGTTTCTAATCTAATCTCTGACATTTGTTTCTTGTCTCACTCCAGCTCGGAGAGCTCCGAAAACTCGCGTGGATGTCGAGCGAGAAACAAACCAAGTCGCCCAATGTGTTGGCCATGATTCGCATGTTCAACCTTGTGGCTGTCTGGGTGGCCGCGTCCATTCTCGAAGAAAAGAAACTCAAGCGTCGCGTCAAGATGATTAGCAAAATGGTCGTGATTGCCTCATTCCTGCGGCAGCTCGGCGATTTCCAGGGCACGATGAGTATTCTGGCCGGATTGTCCATGGCCTCAGTCAAGCGACTGACCTGGACGTTCCGCCTCATGTCAAAGCGTCACACCAAGGTATGTCGGGAATTTTTGTTTGTTTGTTTGTTTGTCTGTTTGTTTGTTTGTTTGTTTGGTCTTGCCGTTTTTTGTTTGTTTGTTTCTTGCCTGACGCGATGCATCTCACATTCTCTCCTCGTCGATGCGTTGCTCGTTGATGCAATCAAACCACGCAGCGTCTTGAAGAGCTGGAGCTGGAGATGCAGGCTGAAAAGTCTTACTCTCGCTACCGCGCGGCATTGAATTCCACCAAAAATTCGGTTATTCCATTCCTGTAAGGCGCAATCTCTGTGTCTCCATGCGCTCGCACAATGTGGAATGACCCTCTCTCACTTGATCTGAAATCAACAATGTGCGCTCCCACCATCCAAATCACAGCGCGGTCTTTTTGAGCGATTTGGCTTTCATTGACGAAGGCAACCCCGATTTCCTTGGCGAGCGTGTCAACTTCGCCAAGCAGTACCTGATTTACGACCTGTTCTTCTCGTTTGAAAACTACCAACGTCGGGCCGCGTACGAGACGTCCATGTCAAACTTCAACCTCCTCCAAAGCATTGGTGCGGCCAACAAGAGCGTTTCAGAGCAAGGCCTGTATGAATTCTCACTCCAGGTTGAGCCGCGCAACGCCAAACGAAACGAGATTCGATAAAACACAAACTTTTGGTGAAAGTGTTGAGGTTGTAGTTTAGTGTGCTGCTAATGTTACTCGATGTATTTTCTCCCCCTTCCACCCCACCCCTCCTCCCTATGTCTAATTTTCTCTTGTGAGTGTCACCAACCCTCTCGAATCGCGCTTTGAAAATATAGCATTGTTATTCTCGTTTGTTTCAAATCTGCGGTGGTTTTGGTTTGGTTTAGGCTTTGTACTTTGGTTGTTGAATAGAACATTGCGTTAACAGGTCAGGCTGATGACGACGGTGGACTGGATGAGGCTGGTGACGGTGCTGGTGTCGCGCTTTGGTTTAGTGGGATGAAGGCGCGAGTGGCGCTCAGAGCGAACAAACCTAGATTGGCCAAGACACGTTAGAATGAAACAAAAGTGCTCTGGAAAAATACAACAAACGCGCGGTGCACGCAGAGCAGCCGCTGACCTGTTCCAACGACAGCCAGGGTGGCACGCGACGTTGTGGCTGTTTTGGGCACCTGTGTGCGCTGGAAGAACGTCCATGCGCCTGCTCGGATGAAGGGGACGGCGGATTCAGACCTCATCATCAGTCACGTCATCGCGCTCCAAGCGGGTAACTGGCTTACCTGCTGCGGCAAATACACCAATGTGGACCAAACGACATTGGAGACAGTCCTCGGGGACAGTCGGAGGTGTGTTGGCGTCCGACATTACCGCGGTGTCATTCACCATTGCGAAACAGCGACTGCGCTCTGACAAGCAGACAAAACAGGAAATCTCAGAAGATAAGCCCAACTATTTGTCTTGCAAACATGAAATTGCAGTCTGATAGTGATAAATCATGCTCGAGCGTACTCCAGAAGTGCTCGATCGTGATTGGCGAACTCGCCGAAAGCAATTCGAGGTTTCGTTTCGCTTGGCACGGTGTTGTGCAAATCGCTCGTGTTATCTTGTCAATTTATGAAAACCAACGAATGATGGGCTTGTGAGACTCCGATTCCCACGGGTTGGGGCTTAGAGCTATTGGCCAGGTAACGTCGATTGATTGATACAAAATGCGCAATGACAACTATCCAAAAGCATCCAAATGCACCAAAATATGCTAAATCCTCATTAACTACCACCGGCTAACCTCGCCGGCTGGACGGACGCAAACTCGGGTCCTGACAGGGCTTTAACTCTACACACTGGGCAACTCCAGAGCGCGCGGGATTGAGTTTTTGAGAAATTGTCCGTACCTAATGTGCTTGTTGACAAAAACCAAAACCAGCAACCAAAAAAACAAGAACTCGCTGAAAATTTGATGTTCAACATTTCCAGCTACTTTTAGCAACCAGGAGGCATTGAATATGAGTCTCAGCACGGGAATTGACACACCCAGCGAATCGGACTGATTTAATGTGTACCTGTATGATGATTACTCCATCCCCAAACTTTTGACGGGTAAAATTGAGCACTCTCCTCAGTACAGCGCATGCGCATTTGCAGAATTGGACAAAGAATTATATTTTACATCTATTTGAGCTGGGGGAGGCGCAGCATCTCAAACATCTTCAACGCCTTGACGGAGCGAAAAGCAGCACAAAAAATGTACAACAATCAACGCGTTTTGTACTTTTCGCCAACCCTTCTACAGCACACCAAACCTCCCAACATCTGATTCATCGTGTATTCATCGAAGCATTCATAATATAAAACCCCAACCCAGTCCTTCTTGAGCACATTTCATGTTGGTCTGCACGGCATGTCAATCGCCAGTTCCGAGCTTGTTTCACCAGTACAGTCCCGGCAATATTCGCCTCACAGGCTGCGTAAGTGCCTCGACTCTTTTCCATCCCTGTTTAATTTTCTCCCACTTGACTTGTTTGGCAATGATTTCCGCTTTGGCAATGAATCAACCCTTTTGGGCCGCGTTGTCTGAGATTTGGAGATTATGATAATCTGCGCGCCAAATTTTTTACCCGCGAAAACTGACACACCACCACGACTTTGCTTGGGGCAGACGAATTGCGCGGCGATCGCCGACCCGTTTGTCGAGTTTGACCACACAATTCTGGCGATCGATCTGCTGCTGGACAAGCCGAGCGTCTTTCGCCACGTCGTGTTCAACTATGCTGGTCGCATGGAAGTGAGCAGGACGACCGAATCGCCAACCCCACAGCATCCGCAGCCGCAGCATCGATGGCGACCATGGATTGGACTTGCTCTGGTGCTTCTTGCTTGCCAAGCAACGGCGCGGCTCTTGGCCGGTCCTGCTAGTGCTGCTGCTACTGCTATTGGGCGTCCTTGGCAGAACGTCATCGGGCCGCCACAATCCGTCCAGATCTCACTGCAAGGGTGGGCATTTGCTTTGCTCCAATCATGCATCGGTAAAGCATTGCAAAATGGTTTTGGGGTTTGAAGCTGGTGTGCTTTGGAGCTGTCTACTATGGGTTTCTTTGTGTTTGGCAGAACTGATCGTCATGACCGGATTGTGTTACGTGCTCAGCCATGGATGGAGTTATTGCTCGACCCGGTTACTACTGAATATTCGTCCAAGTCGTCGTTCTCAATCTCCCGGAGCTCAAGTGCTGACCACCTTTGAGGCGACTGCACGATCGCTGATCCTCGGGTTGCTACCGTCCTCACTTTGTGTTGCACTCTGCATCTGGGACTACTCGCGGCTGTTCATCAGCCCCACTTTTCTAATTCTCTTGTTAGTTGTGCGCATGTCAGCGCGGGCACTAGCAGGTAACAGAGCCTTCTGGGGACCCAAGAGATGAAGTGTGTTTTTGTATTTGGGAGAGCTGACAACAAGGTCCGTTTGCGGACTTACTTTGTGTCTGTTCCCTTCTGCGACAACAATCACATCATCAGTGCAATGGAATCATCCTGTGCCTGTGAGCGCCGGCATCTACGTGCTGAGCTTGGCACTTGTACGACGAGGCTGGCTGTTGTTGTTCTCGTTGGCGTCTTGAACAAAGCACCATCCATTCGTTACTTGTTAACACTGTCGGCCACGTCAAAATCCGTTCATGGGCGCCGTGCCGTCTACAAGAGGGGGTGAAGACTCTCGCTCCTTCTTGTACGATCTTGTCATTGGGTTAATACACGTTCAGAGTTGTTCGTTCCAAAACGTCGAACATCACGGCAGATGACGGGGGATATTCATCGCCATCGCAGCCGCCGCACCCAGTCTTGAAACTCGTTCATCATGTGAATGTCAATCTCCGACAGTCCGTTGAGCATTGCGTTGCGCTCCGTGTCCGACCACCGATCGAGCCAAGCGAGCGCAACGTCCTGCTGCTGCTGCTGCTGCTGCTGCTGCTGGTCCACGAACGCGCTGCTGCTCAACAACTCGCCCTGGTCATCGCACTGCATGGTCGTGCTGTACGATGCGCCTTCGTCTGGGAGTCGCATCGTCCGGTCCAGCAGGAAGGTCAGATCGTCGAGCTCGCCAGGCACCACTCGGTCCAGCACGCGTCGCAGGAAGACCTCGCGCTGAGCCCGAGTCCACTGCGCAAAGCACATCCAGACCCACTCGATCTGGCCCTGACGGTCGCTCGGATGGATTGAGGCTGACATGGACGATTGGGTGGTTGTCCAATGTGTGAGAATGACAGTGAATGCGAGACTGAGCATTGCTGTCGGATGTGCAGCTATTTTGATTTGCCGAATTAAAAGCCAAAGTATGGGATATGCTTGGATTGGGGATTGCGTGCGGTCAGTCGCTCAGAGACACTCCTCTTTTTCCTTCTTGACCACACTCGCTGCCAAATCCTCAATGTCGGCTGCAGCGACGACGACTACGGCAGTTCAAGCTTCACTGACCGAGCTGATCGAGTCTATTGCCAAGCAGCGCAATCTATGGCGCGCAACCGTGATGCAGGGCGCGATGCTGCTTTCGTAAGCCGCGCACGCATGGCTATGGAGGGAAACGAGCGGGATGCGAGCTCACCCTTCCGCTTTCGTTGTGTATCTGTATGTATGTATGTGTGTGTGTGTGTGTGGAACATGTTGACGCAGGTCTTATGCCAATGTGTGCCAGCAGTACGCTGCAGTGACCTCCGACACGACTGCTGCGAATCCAATGATGACGGAACCGCCTCGTGGCGCACTGCACACCACAACGACACCTGCCGCTGATGCAGATGGGAGAATCGAGCAGATGGGTCTCGGGTCTGCAGCAGTGCGCGAGAGCCAATCACGCGAGTCTGCGATCGAGCACTGGCCAGAGCAGTCCAGCAGCAACATGCGCGGAGGTGCACCGCTGCAACACTTTGACAAGCTCAATCCGCGTCTCGCTGAGAAGCTGATTGTGTACACGGACACGCTTTTGAGAGCGCTGCGTGGAAGTTTGTAGGTGAAACATTGATGGGGGAATGGAGTGTACCCAGTCAACTTGGAGACAACCGATTCACGCTTTGCAACAGATCAACGCTTTGGGAGGTTGTCGAGCATTTGGAGCGATTGCAGCACTCGGCTGAGCGTAGTATTGCTGCACTACCCTTGCCAGGTTTGTGCACCGGAGTGTTGCAAGGGATTCACGAAGCATGTTTTATTGCTGTGGCTCATCATTTTTTTTTTTTTTTTGGTTTGGTTCTCTGATTCAGCTGCTATTGCTTCGTCTCCCTCTGAAATACCGCCCAGCGTGCAAGTAGAATGGATCCGAGCAATAGCACACATGTATTCCACCGAGTTCCAAAGGTGGGCGCGGGATCCTCTAGTTGAGATTTGCTTCCCTTCTTCCCCACTTATCTCTCGACCTTGTTTTTGTTGATACAGAAAAACAGCTGTAGTAGAATCGCTCAAACTCGACGCATCCCGAAATAGCTCTGAAGCAGTTATTATCGATGCATGGAGCGTCGAATACCACATCGACGAACGTCAAAGTAAGTGTTGTCAATTCGACCGGATTGTTTTGGTTTTGTGGTTCTTGCGCGAATGCTCTGACACGAACCTGGTATTTTGATGCGCAGTTCTAAATATTTTCCAGTTGGCAGGCGTATCAACGGTGCCACAATAAACTTTAACACTCGAAGACACGACGTCCACCATCGTTTGAAATTCAATACAAGCTCCAAGTTCCCTTTCATCACGAAGATCTATCAGAGGCAATTCAAGTCAAACGTGACAGTTGATCAACTGTTCAACAATGCTTAAGCGCCAACGTTGATTCAAATCGCCTTCGAACGAAGGAGCTTGGGAGACGAGATTCCGTCCTTCCAATCCGTCAACACATGCGCTGCTACATTTTCCCCCACAGATGACCTTCTCTTACGCTAGCTGTCCATATCCATGACTCTGTCAAACAACTCTCGCTGTCTCTGAGTCATTCTCGGATTGCTTCTGCAGCTTTGGTTTTGGATTATTACATTAGGACTGATTTGTTTCAAAAAGGGAGAGGCATATTCTAGCATGTACAACAGGGTAGTAAAATATGGCGGCAAAAATAACTCCAATACTCGATGAACAACCACCGAGCCCAACTACAACGTTGTATGATCGGTATGGGCGTCGTGCGAGCCTTCTGAAGCCGAATGGAATGTGTCCGCCGAGCTGGCGGAATGCCTCGAGATGGTAGAGCGTCTGGACGCTGGCATGTTCGAAGCAACGGGCCCTGGAGCGGGTTGTGACTCGGCGGTGGCAGCACCTGGCTGGTGATGCGCACCAATGTCGTAATCGCTGGCGATAGTTTCGTCTGCCGTGGCAGGCAGAAGCCACGCTTTGCACAGCGGGCACGAGCCATGCTGCAGCAGCCACTCTCGGATGCACTCTGGGTGGTAGCCATGATGGCAAGGAAGAAGGAGACCGAGGTCGCCAGCTTCAAAGTCATCCAGACAAACAGCGCACGTTTCGTTCAGCGGCCGAGTAAAGCTTGGCGGCGGTCCTGCTGCTGAAGGTGCCGAAGGTGCCGAAACGACAATGTCAGTCATTTCAATTGCAGCACTCTCACCTGCAGGAGGCGCCTGCACGTTCCGAGGAGTAACGTGTGCTTCAGCATCAGCATCTGGTGGCTGAGCTGACGTTTCAGAGTTTCGAAGCACAAGCATGCGGAGCTTTCGACGGAGGCGCTTGAGGCTGAATCGACGGGAACCTGGCAATGCTGAGGCGGCAGCAGCCTCCGGTGCCACATAGGTAAATTGGAGTCGCTCTTGGCGTGGATTGTTGGTGGCAGCCGTTACTGCTGCCTGCTGACTGGATGGTACTGCAACTGCTGCATGCGTGTTTGGGGCAACAGGTTCCGAAACTGCGTGGACTAGTGCAGAAGGTGGCATGGCAGACATTGGGAGCGACTTTGAAGCACCCAAATGCGTGGCGGGTGTTTCCACGTTACGAGGACAGCGCGCGTCGTCATCGCCAATTCCAGAGTCTAGACTAGGGTCGCTGCAGACGCGAAACATTGGCAAATCGTCGATGGCGCGCTTCAGAGCAGCTGACGGTACAATGACGGAAAAGTAGGGATCAACGCCTTGTGCCGCACGCTGCGACATGAACTGTCGGCGAAAGATGCAGTAGATGCAACCCACCGCAAATCCAGGAATACAGACGGCGAGCACCACAATTGCCAAATAGACGAGCAATGTCGCCCCGAGTCCGAGGTCGTCATCGTCGTCGGATTGGTTGGGTGCAACATCCGCTCGCCAAACAGCGCCAGGGTTGTTGCTGAGAAGCTGGTCAAGGGCAGTGGTCGTCACCCCACTGATAGAAACGACCGGAATGGCCACGATGGTCTCGCCAGTGATCCGGACTGGGGCGGACGCGGCCGAGTCACAATTCGAAAACACTGCGGCCAGTGCGCCCGCAGCTTCCGCAGCCATTGCCTTGTCGGCATAGGTGCAGTTGTCGCCGTCGGTGACGGGACACGTCGAGACCAGGGCGACCCAGCCTTCGTTCGGTGCAAGCGCCAGGTCTGATCGATTGATGGCAGGACAGCCGGTTTCGGGCACGGCGACCAAGAATTTCGCGCCTGCAATGGAGCGCAGGGTGCCCAGGGTGCTGTACACGACGGTTGCCGATAAACTTGCAGCCGTCGACGTATTTGTCGCTTTGATGGAGATTTTTCCATCGACGGGAGTGCGAGAGGGTGAACCGTCATCGCGCCGATGTTTCTCAGACTTGAGCGTGTCTTTGAGCAGCGATCGCCGCGCCAGACCCAGCGGGAGCAGTGCCTGCCATGTATCTTCGTGCAGCACTCGCCTCGAATCGGACATAGCTGCAGTGAGATCAGCATGGTCGCCTTGGTGCTGCGGCACGGCGCCATTCTGCGCACTGGTGATGACGCGGTTGCGCACCAGCCGCCAGTTTCCCCCAGCGTTCATCCCCGCCGCAGCATCCCGGCGTTGAGGGACGGTGCTTACGTCCTTGTGCATGCCCAGCAGGCCATCCTCGGCGGCGGGCATCCGGTCGATGGGCGTCGTGTCGGAGCCAAGCGGAAATGAGGGTGACCCACCAACATGGCGGGGCGTGCCCAGCACGAGCACCAGCAGCAGCAGCAGCAGCAGGGGGGCAGCCACGCCAAGCACGGCGGATGGTCGAGAAGCGGAAGCGCGCATTGTGCACAGTCGAACAAAAGACAAAGCGCAGGCGGGAGGGGAGGGGGGGGGAGGCAAAGCGTGGTGAAGAAGACGAAGGAGGTTGAATTTCAAACAGACTTGAAGACAACGAACGACTTGTCAAAGGGTGACTCTGCGAACTCTGTGAAATAAACACAAAAAACAAGCAAGACGAATGACAAACCGCATCTGGATTCGGCGATGGGGAAAAAAACAATGAAAAACAAAGCAAAAAAACATGCACGGTAACAAATGCGAAATTGTGCGAAAAACTTCCAAAAGCAACGAATTTTTTGGTTGTTGCTGTTGTTGTTGTTGTTTTGTCGACGTTAACTCTGTTTGTTTGTTTACTCGACACATCAACATTTTTTTTTCTATCAACACACATGGAAGGAAACAAATACAAACGGCTTGGTTTGCCAGCGATCTCCTCCTCCGAGCTCACTCGGTGCCAAAGCTGAGCGACTCGCGCACCGTTAGGGCATCGCCGTGGGCGCGTTGCTGGGCTGCAGCCGTGTCGTAGCTCGAGGGCACAGCGGGGTGATCTTTGTGCGACCCGTCAACAAGAAGCGTGTCGACGTCCATGAGCAACTCATCCACAGCCTCGCGCGAAGTGGACAGATCGTGGTCGCTCGGGGTGGTGGTGGCTGAAGGTGCAGACGACACGTCGAGTTCGTTCAGAGTGATGATGGCTGATGATGCTGGCGCATCTAGTAGGCCTTGTGCAGTGGTGTCCGATGATGCCGACTCGAGAACTGGCGCTTGGTCATCGTCGACGGGGAGCTGTCGCGATGGCATGGGCTGGTACAGGTGGGCAAGTGCGGGCACTGGCGAGATTGGCTGGCTACTGCTGGCTGGTTGATTCTCCAAACTTGTTGATGACGGACTTGCGGTTTCCAGTCCACTATCTGTTAGCTCTATTGGCTTGATGGGAGTTGTCGCTGCATGTTCTTGGAGGAGGGGAGTTTCGGAGCCGGCACTGTACACCCGCTCTTGAATCGCGGGTGACTGGGCGCTTGGTTCTGGACTATCATCGTGATGTTTGGTTGGAAGAGGAGAATGCTCTAATGTGGGTGTTGCATGCGACTTTGTGTTGTCTGAAGCAGCAGCTGGCTTGGCGCTTTCCGTGTGTGAGTCGTGGTGGGTCCCTGAGCCAGCACCGTGAGCGGCATGGGGTGCAGGCGACGAGGTCGATTGCGGTTCCGCAGGCACCTGTTTCGGCTCTGCAGCAGGCTTTGGTTCGGCGGCTTTGGCGGAAACAGGGGCGACCGTAGCCGGGCTTGGCGATGGTGGTTGCGGGGTTGCTGCCGACTTGGCCGGCGATGTCGCTGTGTGCGCATGTGCCGGTGGCTGTGCAGGTGCAGGTGCAGGTGCAGGTGCAGGCGCAGGCGCATGTGCTGGTGGCTTGGTCGACGCAGACGACGATGAAGAAGACGATGGCTGCGTAGGTGCTGGTGCCGGATGCTTGGCAGACGACGACGACGACGACGACGATGATGACGTCGCCGCAGCCCCAGGGGAGGGAGACGAGGTCGGATGCGGGCGCCGTGATTGCAAAAATCCAGGCGTCAGAGAATACTTGAACGCGTCCCACAACGCATCACCGCCTTGCTGGCGGAGGGCCGGCTCATCGAGCACTGCCTGAGCAAAGCTGGTGGCAGCCACCTTGATCGCCTCATCGTTCAGAGTCTGATGGGCAGTGTAGCTGGCCAGTTCCGAAACCTGCTGCTCAAACCTGGGAGTTGTGAGGACGGTGGTGGCCAAAACAGAGGCGGCGTCCACAAAGGCTGGATCGTTGAGGGCAGACTGCAGCAAGATGGACAGGTTGGCTTTAATGTCATCTCGCTGGAACAGGCGCGTGAAAAAGTCTGCCATGAGCGTTTGGGTGGATTCTTGCGCGGCAAACTCGGCAAACACGGCTTGGACGAGCTCGAGCAGCTTGGCCTTTGCAAAGGGATCGTTGATGACAGCCACAAGCATGGACAGGACGGCTTGCTGCATGTGAGGCTGGGCAATCAGGTCTTGCACAAAGGTCGTGGCGAGCGCCAGCGTGTTTGGATCGGTCAGAACTTGGCCGACAACGAGCTTGGAGACTTCCTCGGCCTTGCTCTTGACGTTTTCGCCACTGAGAGAGCGCGATGCGACGTCTGCCACTTCCTCGGCAACGTTCGTCCGGATGTGCTCGCGGTAGTAGTACACGGCCGACGCGAGCAGACCGAGGCCCAGGACGGAGACGCGCAGGATGGACAGGCGCCATGTCTGCAGCACGCGTTGCATTTCAGTGTATGTCGTGCGACGAAAGTAGCGTTCCCAGTACGCCATGCCTGTCGTGGTTGTTGGTGGCGGCGGTGGCTGTTCTGGCTGGGTGCTCGATGATGATGATGATGATGATGATGATGATGATGATGATGATGATCTCGCCTGCAGGCTTGTCTTGGAGCCAAGCGTCGGGCTGCGGGGATGGCTTGGTGCTTGCACGTATGCACGGTATGGCCCTGACGATGAGGTTGTCCTGAGCTGTGGCGCGGGCACGACGCTATGGCGCTCGGCAGCAACTGGGATCAAAGTGGCTGCTGGCTGCAGTCCATTCCGAAGACAAAGCCGACCAACTGCGATTCGAAGCATCCTCACAAAAGCGCGTCACGGTCGTCAGAACGATGGCAATAGTCTCCGATGTGTGTTGTTTTTGGGAGGTCGTTTTCCAATCTGAGAAACCTGTCAAATCTGCGCACTCGAGCACTTCAAAAAGCAAGGACTGAGTGTCGCGCTCAAACAACAGATTCGACTTGATGCTCAAAGTCTGATGTACTCATTCATTCATTCATTCATTCATTCATTCATTCGTTATTGCATTTTGCAGTGAGCAGCACGGCGATGACGACGAGATCCAAGCAAAGCAAAGCAAAGCATGCTCGCCTTATCCACTTTCACCATCCTCCTTCTATTCCACCCTTGCCCTCCCCACCTTTGACTCGACCGACTTGCCCAACACTCTCATTCAATCCCCACCTTTGATTCAACCGACTTGCCCAACAATCTCATCCAATCCCCACTTCTTCAAATCCATACAAATTTTTGCAGTCCATTTTTTTTTTTTTTTTCTGGTAACGCATGGCTTTTTTCCATTTTATTTTTTTTATTTTATTATTTTATTTTTTATTCTTTTGGCTCGCATGCGTCTTTTTTTCGTCGATCGCACTGCATGCAGCAGCAGCAACATTTCCCCACTTGCCCCCCCCAACCACCCCATCGCTTCAGTCGCACAAGTCACTCCTTGGATCCCCGCGCGGGCCGTGTCGTTTGGTCGCCGTGGTGGCGCGCTTCAGCTTTTTGTTTTTGTGAAACCAAAAAAAAAAAAAAAAAAAAAAAAAAAACCAAAAAGCTGACAATGTTGTTTCATAGAAAAAAAAAAAAAAAAAGAAAAAAAGAAAAAAAGCGAGATCTTTTTCATTGTAGCCGCCATTGCATGTATCACGATACATCTCCTGTCCTGTCCTGTCCTGTCCTGTCCTGATCCTCGCTCCCGACTTGCTTGCTTCTGAATCTAAACTCACACTCACTCACACTCACTCTGGCTGCTGGACTCCCAAACCATCAGACACACAAAACAAAATGGCAAAGGAAGCAAAGTTCCAGGAGAACGAAAAGTCCAACGACGTCCGCACGAGCAACATTACTGCCGCCAAGGGCATTGCAGATGCTGTGCGCACGTCGCTCGGCCCGCGCGGCATGGACAAGATGATCCAGTCGGCCACGGGCGAGGTCACCATCACCAACGACGGCGCGACCATCCTCAAGCAGATGCAGGTGCTCCACCCCGCCGCCAAGATGCTCGTCGAGCTCTCCAAGGCCCAGGACATTGAGGCTGGTGACGGCACCACCTCGGTCGTCGTGCTGGCGGGCGCGCTGCTCGCCGCTGCACAGCGCCTGCTCGCCAAGGGCATCCACGCGTCCACCATCTCGACCTCGTTCGCCAAGGCCGTCGCCAAGGCCGTCGAGATCCTCACCAACATGTCCATTCCGCTCGAGCTGACCGATCGCGAGCAGCTCCTCAAGGCCGCCTCCACGTCGCTCAACTCGAAGGTTGTCTCGCAAAACTCGGCCCTGCTTTCGCCCATCGCCGTCGATGCCGTGCTGCGCGTCGTCGACCCCGCCCACTCGCACAACGTTGATCTGCGCGACATTAAGATTGTCAAGAAGCTCGGCGGCACTGTCGACGAGAGCGAGCTCATTGACGGCCTCGCCTTCACCCAGCGCGTCCAGGCCGCCTCTGGCGAGGCTGTCACCCGCGTCGAGAAGGCCAAGATTGGTCTGATTCAGTTCTGCCTCTCGGCACCCAAGACCGACCTCGAGAACCAGGTCATTGTTTCGGACTACTCGCAGATGGACCGCGTCCTTCGCGAGGAGCGACAATACATTCTCAACATGGTCAAGCAGATCAAGAAGGCAGGCTGCAACGTGCTGCTCGTCCAAAAATCCATCCTCCGAGACGCCGTCAACGACCTCTCCCTCCACTTCCTCGCCAAGATGAAGATCATGGTCATCACCGAAATTGAGCGCGATGAGATTGAGTTTATCTGCAAGACGGTCGGCTGCAAGCCCATTGCCTCGCTCGACCACTTTACTGCCGAGCGTCTCGGCTCTGCCGAGCTTGTTGAGGAAGTCTCCACTGGCGACTCCAAGATTGTCAAGGTCACTGGCGTCCCCGCCAACTCGCGCACCGTCTCCGTCCTCGTCCGTGGCTCCAACAAGCTTGTCATCGAGGAGGCCGACCGTTCGCTGCACGATGCTCTTTGCGTCATCCGATGCCTGGTCAAGAAGCGGTGAGTGGGCAGAGTTTGGTCGTTTTCTGTTGTTGTTGTGCTTGGTTGGTTTTTTTTTCCCTTGGATGCATCCTTTGACATATTCCCCACCGCCACTATTTTTGTGGGCCCATCAAACCATGATTGTTTTTATCACTCACATTCTCTCTCGGCCCTCCAATTTGCCCCCCCCCCTTTCGCAGCGCTCTCATTGCTGGTGGCGGCGCTCCCGAGATCCAAATGTCCCACGAGCTGACCGAGTACGCCAACTCGCTTGAGGGCATGGACTCGTACTGCATTCGCGAGTTTGCCCAAGCGTTGGAGGTCATCCCCTTCACGCTCGCTGAGAATGCCGGTCTTAACCCGATCTCGGTCGTCACCGAGCTCCGAACCCGCCACGCTCAAGGCGAGAAGACTGCTGGCATCAACGTTCGCAAGGTACCGCATCAAGTTTGGTTTTTGCGTGGTTGCGAGTTATGGGTTGCGGGTTGTTTTGCCCAAAGACTCTTTTATGTGGCTCAATTTTTTTTTTTGGTACTTCAAATTTCTTGCATTCGCAGGGCACGATCACCAACATTCTCGAGGAAAACGTCATTCAACCGCTGCTTGTTTCCATCAGCTCGATCACTCTTGCCTCCGAGACTGTGCGCGCAATCCTCAAGATCGACGACATTGTGAGTTTTTTTTTTTTGTGACTTTTCTGTCTTGGCTGATTTGTTTCACAAAATATTCTGTTTGACTCACTGGTTTGTGAACTCTTGCTGTTGTGACTATCTCTGTTTGACACAGGTTGCAACTCGTTAACAGCATGTATCATTTTTGTTTCTTTGGAGTACAATACAGTTTTTCACAAACAGAATATGGGCTTCCTCTCCCCCTCCTTTCCCCATTCATGTTACTTTGAGTTGTTGGTGTAACGTCCTGCTGAGGGCATTTCATTCCCCAGGATAGCTGAGGGCCAACGCGCACGAATCATCGCTAAGATGATCGCCAAGACTTTTTTTGTTGTGGAACTATTGCTTTTGCTTTTGCTTTCTCCCTTGATTTTACTTGTGGATGATTCAAATCACTGGGCTCAATGGCGAATGGACGATTTCACTGCAGTTTGCATCATCACCACAATTTCATCCTTCAGAAATCGATTATGATCTGATCGCTTTTTTTTTTTTGGGAAGAGCTCATTGTTGGTTTTTTTGTTGCTGTTTTTTGTTTTTTGGTTGAAATCCACTTTTTTTTCTCGCTTGATTCGCTTCGTAGGAAAAAAAGTTTCAACTAAAAACCGAAATCAGCACAAAATCTCACTACTTTCGCCTAGCTTTTTCGCACTTTTTTTTTTTCTTTCTTTTATCGCCGTCTTTTTTTTTTTTTTTTTTTCTTTGCCATTCCTTGCCTTTCTGTGCTCTCTCGCTCCTCCCCCTTCTTGTCAAAAGCCCCCCTCTTTTCGCTTTTGGCTCTTGTATACTAGCATCTTATCCGCGGGGACTGCAGCAGGGCGACTCGTTGACGCTGCTTCACGTTCTTTCTTGCCACAGCTGCACCAACGTCATCAAACCGTTGCAGTAAGTCGCCTCGTCGCCGTGTCGTCCGTTTGCTGTTTTTCCCCCCCTCCGTCTCCGTCTTCGTTTCGTCTCCTCTTCAACACTCTCCTCTGTTGTTTTTTCATTGTGTGCGTCCCTTCGTGGCTGTCGACCGTTGTGCTTTTGCCTTTCGTCAACGTCGATGACTGCGCTTTTTTTTTTTTTTTTTTTTTTCCCCTCGTGCATTTTTTTTTGCTTTTCGTCTTGCATCATACGTTGGGAAACACCAGCACGCCTCGCTCATGCAACCGACAAAGACTGATGCTGAGTGCAGCCTCCCCTCTCCCTGAAACCAGCCGCTGTGGACGAGCGTGAAGGAGGGGGAGTTTGAGAGGCATAAAAACGACTCGCCCTTTCGCAGGAACTGCGTTGTGCGAGTGCGTCTGCTGCCTGCCTCTCTCTCTCTCTCTCTCCCCCATTTTCAGAGATGGCCGAGTCGCATGTCATGCCTTTGCGTCTACATGCACCTCGAGTCGCGCTGACGGTGGCCAAGGGGGAAAGAGTTGGGAGATACGGTTTGCGGACAGTTTGGAAACAAAGTCCTCCGCTTTCCCCGTCCGTCTCATCGCTGCGGCGACTCCAGCGCCAGCCATGCACCTCATCGAGCTCTCGTGCACTTTCTTCCCTTGCACTTGGGAGCCGACGCCATTGCAGGCTGCTGGTTGTGTTTGTTCGTTCGTTCGTTCGTTCGTTCGTTCTTAATTCGTTTTTGAAACAACTTTTGAACTTTTCAATGCACGCTCGTTCGTTCATTGTCTCTGTTGTCCTGAGCAATCGTGCTCCTTCTTCTCTTTCTTCTTGTCTCTCTCTGCTTCCAATCTCGGGTCGGACTGATGACTCGTGCGGTTTTTTGCTCGTTTAAACCGAAAATGAACAAGAAACAAAAATCGTTCGATAATCATTTTTTGAATTGTCGATTCTTTTTTTTTTTTTTTTTTTTTCTCTCTTTCTGTTCTCGCTCAACCTCGAATCTGTCTTCCGTCTCTATTCTTGTTCACTTTTCATTCATTCATTTCTCTCCCCTTATTGTCTCATTCCTGAGCCATTTGCCTGTCTCGTTCGTTCCGATTTTTTTCCGCCTTTTCGCTCACTTTTTGTTTTTGCTGTGCATTCTACAATCTCCCGATCAGAAGCAAAGTCACCTCCTTCGCTTCTCTTCTTCGCTCTGTAATCTTCTTCCAGCTTTGCCTCATCACAAAGCAGCCAAGACCGGAAAACAAACAACAAAACCCCTCAAAATACAAAATGACGGAAACATTGACCTCGGCAGATATGCTGTTCGACCAAACCCAACTGCTCAACGAACCAACGACACCAGTCCGCAACGCGCGCATCCACACGATGCAAGAAGACTTTCAGGACCAGCACCGACCACCAACTCCATTGTCAAGGACGCGAAGGGCGTCGTTCTCGGCACCCGCCGTGTTGCGCATCAACGATGCGAACGACTACTTGATTAGCCTGTCCATGGACAAGATGTCCCTGCAGGACGAGACGTCGGGTCTTCGCAAGTCGGTGCTGATCCAGCGTGTCTTGTCTAGCCGCCTGCAATACAAGGAGCATTCCGGCGAGTTGTCGCCGTCCTTGCGCATGCGAAAAGAATCAAAGCGCATGTCGCCGCTAACGCCCTCGTCGCCCTTCTTGTTTGGCGCGCACGCGTATAGCACGACGTCGTTTTTGCCAGAGTACTCTGACGATCCACTGGCCAGCGTCTTCCAACTCGAATCCCGCTTCTCGTCTGAAGACAAGCACGACGACAGCGACGGCGAAGACTCTGCCGATGACTCGTCGTCGTCTTGCAGCGACAACGACAATGACGAGGACGAGGAGGAGAACGAGGAGGAGAACGAGGAGAATGATGCCAACGCGGACCGCAAGCGTGGGTCGCACGTCCTTGTTTCGCCCCTGTTTTCTCGCCAATCCGCCGCCAATATTACCCGTCGGTCTCCGGCCACCACTATTACCACCACCACCACCACTGTGGTCGACATGACGAGCGCCACACAGGCCGACTTGGCCAACGAGGAGCGCGTCATTGAGATGAATCTCGACGACGAGGACAGCCAGACTGCCCGCCAGCAGAACGCGGCAGGTGGCTCGAGCGAGTCTCCTACCTCTTCTGCGTCGTCGTCTGCCACTTCGTCGCCCGATCCCGAACAAGGAGAGCAGCTGCTTGCCAAAGGGCCTTTTGCTGCATCGTCCGCCCTCGCCGACGCGCGAGCAAACACCGTGTACGACTTGTCGTCCCACTCGCTGCTTGGCCCTGCCCCCACCTCTGTGCTTGAGCAAGATTTGTCCAACGCGGACTTGCCCCTTTACTCGATTGGCGGCAAGGGCTTTTACCGCGAGAGCGCCTCCTCAGCGAACAGCGGCAGTGCTGCCGTTGCGCACGAGCTTGAGGCTGCCGCGCTGGCCATGATGAACGAGAGTGCCCAAGCTGACGGCATGAGCGTCTTTGACCAAGCCTTGTTTGACAGCCTTTCTGGCCCCGAGGCCAGCACTGGCGACGTCACCGAGCACTCGGTCCTGCACACTGCACACAATGGCAAGAACATTTTGATTCTGCGTCGCCCCAAGCGCCCCTTTGACCAGGATGCCCCAGAAGACGCCACCGTTGAGCTCGCTTCCGATGTTGTTGCTGCCAGCCATCCAGAGCTCAAGCGTGTTCGCTCCAATCTGGATACTCCAGTCTTGTAGAGAGAACCCTCCTACAATGGGACAAAAAATGGAGACCACCCTGCATCTAGCTCTCTTCATATTCTTGTTCAATATTATTAATATAGACGATGTGCAAAAAATGGCGGCGGTCGGAGCAATATGAAATTTTGACTTTGCATTGACCTTTGGCTGGGCGCGAAAAATCTTGTCCCATTGTAGGAGGGACAACCTCCGCAGCACTCCCGGCACCTTCCCGCCCGCCCCCGACAGTGGACATGCAGCGAAGATGCAAAGAAAATCGATATTATCCGTATTGGTGGACGATAGGGTCATGTTGTGCGTACTTATGGCCGGGAGTGTGCGCGGGTTCGAATCGGGACAAAGAATTATCGTCGTTTAATCAACCCGACAACAATAACATACATCAAATTGCATATAAAGCCATACATGTAACACATTTAGTTCGAATTGGAGAGGTCAGATAGCGCGAGTCGCTTCCGGCGATCGGTTTTCGGCGTGGACGACACATTTTCATCGGTTGACACAAGCTGCATCGCCGCCATGTCGTTTGTCAGCCAGCTGCTCACGCCACTTGTGTTGGCACGACTGAGTGTCATACCTGGAGGCAAAATGAGCCGCGATGAGCTGCGAGTAGCAAGACGGGGTTCCTTCAGCCGCTCGAGAGATCTTGACGACAGCGAATAGGTCACATTCTCGTCCGACCCGCCACTCTGGGCTGTTTCAAATGATGGAGCGGCCTCGTCGTCAGAGTCTCTTTCATAGATTCTCTTCCTGGAGCGCGCTGGAGCGGCAGAAGTCACCTGCATTGGCGACGGCGGAATGCCGTCCTCTTCGCATTCGTCGTCAGAGTCGTCCTGCTCAACCGCCATCGTCGCAACCGATTGCAAAGCCGGTGCCGCAGCTGCTGCTTTCGAGGCGGCAAGCGCGCGGACGTGTCGGACGTCGGGGCGCTTGGGTTTTGCGGCGACCATTTGCTTCACGGTCGCGTTGACTTTGGCGAGCCTCTGCTGGTTCGCGTGAAGTTGCGCACGCACGTCTGCAACCAGAGCGGCTGCCGAGTCGTCTGCCTCGAGTTCTGCGAGCCGGGTCTGGTCGGCAGCGATCGTCGACTTGAGTTGGTCCTGCTGATTCATGAAGGGCTCGATTTTGTCTTCGTAGGTCCTCATCGCTCGTTTGTACTCCTCCATGAGAGGCGCAACCTGAGCCTTTTCTTGTTCCCGAGCTTCTCGCTCGTGTTGGGTAGCACGCTGTGCCGCATCTTGGGGCGAGTAGGCCTTGTTCGGCTTGACGGTTCGGACAGTGGCAGGCTCGGTGCAGCTCGACGACGGTGTCAGCGGGGGCGCTCGCAGCAACTCCTCGAATGTGAGAAGCGATGGAATCTGTAGCAGGGTGCGCACATCACTCACGAAAGCGTCAAGGAGGC